AAAGCTTAGTGAAGCCCACGATGTCACTGGAAAGTGGCAGTGAGGTACAAAAAGTTAAATCAGGCAAAATAATTGGCAATAAATACTTGGTTAACCAATGGAACATCCTGACTTAGCATCATTTTTTGAACTCTCACAATTCTGAGCCAGGGAGACCTAAAAGTGATGGGCCAGTTAATTGCATTAGAAAATATTTTTAGTTGTTTGATATGTTTGGTTGGGGTTATTTTGTTTGGTTTGGGTTTGAGATTTTGGGTGTTTGTTTTTTGTTTTTCACTTAGCTTTGTTTTAGATTGTGTTGGTATATTCAAAGGTAGGGCAGGTTGTTTGATGAGAACTCCATCCCCTAACATCTGGACTCACCCTGTTTCTGTCCATCGAGTGAGTGGGTTAATATAACAAGAGATTTACAATGAGCCTGTGCAAAGCTCATTTAGAGAAGTCTCAAGTTGAAGATCATTTGCTTGCCAGTTAAACTCATTCCTACCTACATCCTAGATATTTTATTTCTTAGACTCCTAGCTGAAAAAAGGCTTTCTGCCCTCTTCACCCAACCCCAAACCCACCCTGGGAGAGAGCCATCATCAGTGACAAGGCAGGACTCCCAAGTTTTTCTAAACTCTATCCTCATTTTCCCCATCTGGAAAGGGGAAACAAGGAAGGTCCTTTTTTCTAAACTCTATCCTCATTTTCCCCATCTGTAAAACAAGGAAGGTCCCTTAAACCCTAGTTAGGACTGACTAATTTGAGTGCCTGCAGCAAACTGTTCCTGTGCAAACCATTTAGAATCTTTCAATTTACAACTCCAATTTATGGGTTTTACTCTGAACTTTAAAACTTGCCCTAAGGCAAGGTGACTTCAGTTCTGCCTCATCGGATGATGTGGCCATTGTATCCTTTGTCAGGTAAGGGAAGAACTATATGGCCTATTTACTTCAAGTTTTGAAACTCATCCCCTAAGATAAAGAAGTATACCTTCCTGAAGTGATTTCCTGTGTCTTTGCTAAACTGGATGCCTTTTAGCTCTAAGAAATTGATTTAAGTTAACAAAAAAAAAAAAAAAGAAGAGGAAGAAGAAGTGGGGGTGGAGGAACTTAACAAAAATCACACCAACGCATCTTATTAACAGCATGCCTAAGTGGTAAACCTGCTGCCACTTTACTGAAAGCCCTGCATTTTCTTCTTTTACAGGTATTATTTACTCTCCATCAACTAGCAGCCATGCACAAATTGTATACTGTAGATTGCTCCATTTCTCTGCCTTTTGAGTTGAAATCCTAACTACACTTATATTCATTTACTTGAAAAAGATGGATACACTCAGCTAACTCTGAGCTTGGCAAAATTGGCCTTGTCTTAAGGTCACCAACAACTTGTTTGAGTAACATTTCTGTTTTCAAGTATAAATTATAACAGTTATTTTATCCTCAAGATAAAAGACACATAGCGCCCAATGTTCATGTCTGTACCATCATTTGTCACTACTGGCACTTTCGATTGTTCTGGCCTCCATACACAATAGCGGGGCATTGTTTGTATTGTTTGCCTGGCCATAATGGATTTGCACCAAGCCAAGCATATTCCCAACCCCAGCTCCCCTGGGACCAGTGTTGTAACGGGGTCATGAGTGCTGTCAGGGGTGGAGAGTTAATTGAAGAAATGGAAGTTCTACCTGTAATGGCATTCTCATGGGGCTTCGCTCACCTCACACTGAAGTTGATGCCTCCGCTAACTGGAGACACTATTATTGGAACCAGGACCTCTCAGGGTCAGTTATGCAGGCCCGGCTGCTACTTTATAATTTAGTTGGTGTGAGCAGCCAGCATTGTGCAGAAAGCTCTGAGGCTTTGAACTTTAGGGGGTTTTATGGGTCCTTTTGTTCCCCAAAGCAGGCTATTATCTTCTTCACAGGAGTTTTTTTCCTAAACTCAAATTGGTACATGAACAATTTTACCCTGCCTCCTCTAGTCTCAGAGATTAAAAATCTAACGTTATTTGAATCTGTGAACTATTGGAAGGAGCACACTAACTAAGATCACCAATCTGGCTTCAGAGTAAAATCAGTGATTTACTGGCATATTTAGCACACATGTCACTTGCAGGAAGCTTGGGACCCCCCTGGAGGGACAAAGGATGAATATTTATTGCGGTCTAATAATAGTGGGAAAATTGAATTTTGTATTTTTTTCAGTGAAAGGAATAGGGTGATATTTTTGTATTTCCCTCAGGAATTTCTATCTCAATAGACCATTTATGATATACATATTCATAACCTATGCTGGTAATATGCTAAATACTTATAAATACATCATGATCTGGCTATATTGTTATGTCTTGTATTTATTGTTAATGGAAAAATACAAAATGCATTCAGGCTTCCCATCAATATTTATAGAGCACCTACTATGTCCCAGGCACTGGGGTAGGCACTGCAGACACAAACATTCATTCCACACACATAAATAACACATAATTCTGCTAGGGAAATAGAAACGTATATAATTACCCACATATATGTGTTAGTTGAATATAAAACCCTGGCTTCCCATGGCCAGTGGAGGGTTTAAGGAAGTATTGACATGTTTTGCCCAAAAGGGGATTGTTTCAGATAGATTTGGAAAGTTACTTATCCCACTGAGGCAGGATAGTAAAGAAAGTAGGAAAATTCCTGGGCAAATAGAATAGGGAAACTGAGGTAAGATAATCAAACAAGGCCAAACAATTTGACCAATTTATAGCCAGCTAGTGGATCACAAGACCTTATATTCCCTAACCAAGGAAACCTGAGAACAAATGATTTATATCTGTCCTCCCTGAGCAGAGAACAAATAGCTTAAATCACTCTGGTCAGAGTAACAGAGACCCAATTAATGCCAGTTATGCCAGATAAACCCAAGAACAGATGAAGTCTGGGGAACAAATAACAAAAACCCGATTCAATCCAGACAGACCCAAGATAAAAGTAACACAGTAAAGCCAACCAAAGAATAATCCCAAACTCCCCTATATGCTTACTCAGATGAATCAGCATATTATAAGCACACCTGAAAAGCTGATGAATATTCTTCTGAAACTCTCCCTCCCTAAATTTTGCACCCACAGAAGAGAGATAAAAACCCTCAAGACTAAGGATGCCAGTGTGGATTCTCTCCGGAGTACGCACAGGACCTTTCTCGGACATGAACTTTTTATTTTCTTTCTCCTACAAT